GTTGTAGATTATCGTTAACCGTCTGCCGTGAAATGGCGTCGACAATACGCAGTAGTGTTATTTTGTTTTTGTTTCTCCAGGATCAATTTCTTAACAATTTACTGGTTTTGTTTGAGTATTTGTCATCATTTAGATTTTTTAAGTAGGTTAAATCGATTACATATTCCTTAAGTAACAACTCCAGCGCGTCCAAGCGTTTCTCTACCGTGAGTTTCTGAGATAACGAGTTGTTCGATGAAGCTGATAAGTCTGTTGACAAGTCTGGCAATGATAAATTCATCGAAAACTGTAACGACATTGTCGGAAATGCTTCACGAAGTTGCGAACGCGTTTTTCGTGCACAAAAGTAACAGTATGATTGAACGCAACACCAAGGGCTTAGAGATTTACTACCTGAAGGATGTAAAAAGGTAAATTATAAAATAAAAAATAATGTAAATTATATTGAGGAGATATAATTAAGAATAATAAGTTTCATATTAACGCATTACCAAACCATATAACATAAAGTCCTATGGCTCCGCTCCATGCACCACAAAGCAAGGCAAGTGCGTTAGGAAACTATTCAATATCAAATAAACGCGCACGTAAGTCAAATAACAATTTACAACCAAAATTACGTTTAAATTTATCGAATTAAACATTACCGTGTACGTCCTGCGGAATTGATGCAGATATGTAATAACAATAATGCTTAAGGTAGTAACACTAATTAATAAACTGTTTTTGACAACCGCCTACCTTATCTTCGTTTCGGTTCTGACCGAAAATGTTCTAGGTGTGATAACTATAGTTCCAAAGAAACTGGTGTTCATCGAAGCACTATATTTTGTGGCGTAATTTCTATAATGACCAGCCATTTTAGATAACGTAGAAAAAAATATACTGATACGTTTACTTTATGCGCTACTCACCGATTTCCGTACCTATATAGTACAGAGCAGTAGTTTCCGGTGGGAAGCCAAAACAGTCGGCTTTATGAAAATTAATTTTATACCTCACGCTTCGAGTGTAATACGCAAAATGGCGTGTATGATAAAACAAGAAGTGGTTCGAGTGGGCCATGGAATCAAGAATAGTCGGTTCTATTTCGTTTGTGCCTAATATTTCTTGAATGGTTTCTTGTTTGGTAAAAAAACCCCCTACTTTTTAGTATCTTAAGTTTACTAGCTAATTAACAAATAATTGGTCCATAATAACGTCAATGCCATGCAAATAGATGCAGTAGGCATATTATAACGTTAATTATTACCTGTAGCCACCAAGTTAATCTCTGCTACAGACGTAAAATTTTGATTTTTCGGATTAAACGAATTGTCGGTTATAATCATATTAAAAACCATTGATTCTGTAGCGTTTATGTAAAGATCTAGCGGGTTAATAAAGGTTATCTGACTATCCGTATTCATCATCAATGTCATGGTTTGCACATTGCAGGCTCGGGGTTCTTCTTTGTAATATGATTAGGAAAAAAAATAATAAGCTAGTTACACTCCAGATTAATTACAGTTGTAAAAACTTATTGATCAGGTATAGTCAACTATTACCGTGAACTTACTGTTAACTGTGTGAAAACATTCTATGGTAAAATTGTGTATGTAAATAATATAGACCCATGGAAATGGTAGACTTTGTAGTTTATCACCATATTCTACTCTCAATACGGATTTTGCACTGCGTGCGGACTACTTCGATGTAGTCCTGTGTGGTGCGTTTGTGAACATAAACAATTATCTGATGGGTGGACTAGCAACAATAAGCAACTCGACGAGTTCATTAAGAATTCTCAATTGCAAACATACTCACCAAAACATGCCTACGACAACAGGGTTATCATTATCATTAATAACTTTTAGTAAAAGCATTTTTGCATATACAAACAAAAGCTAAACATAATTATCATAGTAACAACACGACAGCCGAAAACTAATGTCGGTTCAGTTTTGCGATTTCTACGAAACATTTGCACATTTGATATGATGACAATATATAACTTCCAGGGACAGGAGATAATAAGTACTTGTTCTCAATATGAGGGATAAGTTCAAAAATACGTTACAGTCCAGACTCGCAAAGTGGTGACTAAATACAATCTTAATCTAAGAAAA